GCTCAGGCTGACTTCACTGTTGTACCATAAGTTAGTGGGATTTGATGAATGTAGTTTGATCTATGGTTTTTTCCGAACAAGGCGAATAAAAAATGAACTCGTTAAAACCAAATGGGTTAAGAAAAACAAGAGCAAAGAGTCTGAACTCACGAGTGAAGACTGTGTACGCCGCCCTCGATCTGGGCAGATGGGCTGCGGCGCTCAAAACGAAGCTCCCCAGAAAGTGCCATAGAATGGAGTTTGGCGAGTGAAGAGGCTCCCATCTGCTGGAGGCCGTGTTGCACTCCTGTTGCTAAATATGGCACCAACATGTGGACGCTGCCGCGATCAACAATACTGCCAGAGACGCCTTGGGCCACTTTGATAATATCGGCATCACTGAAGTAGCGCGCCTGGCTAGTCGAGTACTGTCGCATCGCCTCTAGACTCCCCATACCTGCAAGACAGGACCAAATAAAGACAGGGAATAAATAGTGGTCTTAAATGATGAAAGGTAGAAAATCCATGGTTTTATGCAAAATCAAGTGAAACATAGGCACATCAGAACGAAAAATGTTAATTGAAATGTGACATGACTCTTGGTTTAGTATATTTTTTGCGCTGTTTTGTAAAGTATGTATTCCTGCTCTAATGCTGTCTGCCACGGCTGCATAGATGAAAGTTCAACTCAGGTTATTTAGGGTCGCAGGACGGTGGGGCAGAGACTTCTTCGCACAATCCAATAGTCTTCCCTCAGTGGCGATTCCCCTTCGGCTTCCGGTGATATCATTTCACTAATTCCTTCCAACCAATTCTTCCTTCGAAATGGAAACTCATATCACAATATATTAAAAAGGAATTCTTTGAGACTCAGTTTCTATTCATATTTTTAGGTAAGTGAATTGTTGCTGATAGAGGATCTTGCATTAAAAATTATTATTTCAAGCACAGACACTCTATTTTCACCTTAAAAAATCTTTAATATCGCAAGACTACGAAGTAATATTTCAATCGCAGCAGGATAAGGAGACGGCCCCGAGCCTAGTCTAGTGTAGACCAAGACCAATTGTTGGAGGAGCTAATCAGTCTCCCCTCAATTCAGGCGCAAGTGGGCACTTCTTGATCAAGGAAAAACATTAATTTACCTTGAATGATATAGGACTATGATAATACCATTTTCTCCACAATTATATGTTTAGGCCTCACGTATCCATTGAATTTCACACAGTTCTGCTTCCCAAAAGTATTGAGACATACTATTAATATATTGGTAGAATACAAGTTTGCCTCATATTTGTGATGAGTAGATTTTTACGACTTTTACAACTGTAGCCACTCTTGGTTGAAATGTGATAAAGGACTGAGATAATTTTTCAATAATGAAATGTGTGGTTTAATGACCGGTAGTGAGACCAGTGACATGAATAGGCCTCAAGATTCCAGCAATTTTAGTTTAAACTAGCCTCCTAAATGGCTCCCTCATCCAGGGTGTACTGCAATTTTCACCTTTCTTAGGTATCAGCATCCGTAACAGAAGTCAAGGGCAAATCGGAAGCATTGGGACCATGCTACAACTCCGCTAGATAGCCACGGGTGCCAGGTGCCACAAGGAATAAGAGACATTAAATGCAAGTCAGACCTCTCCTAGATCATATTGCTATTGGTAATATCGATGAAGTAAGCATCTAATTGTATTGAAAGTCATATCTGCCCTGTGATTAACTGACAACTGTGTTTGTGTAGCAGAGGTGTAGCGCCAAGGTGATCCTCACTACCCAGTATCAAATCCAGTTAGGGTGCTGATGAGGCCTTATATCAATCTAGGCGATCTAGTACGACTACTCTCATCATAAATGAAAGTCTGTTTATTAGAATTCTGCTAAACAGAAAAAGATCAAATTTAGAATAGACCAGTTCTCGAGCGAAAAATCAGGCATTTTGTAAACATTTGAATAGCTTAGTCGAAAATGAGTCCCTACAAAATTGTCATAGATATTCAATAAACTGGCCTGGCTTTATTTGGACAGTGTCGAGAAATAAGACTTTATGTGCCTATGTAGCCTATTCGTGCCAGAGATAATATATAATCGCACTGAGCGGCCAAACATGAACCAACAAGAAAAGAAGCCTGATATGTATAATCATAAGTCCTACAAATCGAATTCAATGAAGTTTGATTCTCGTTCATTTAGTGAAAAGATATCATCAGGCACTTTGAAGGAATAATGAAGTCTTAAATAATGCCTGATTGTGAGCTATGTTTATAAAAAGTGAAATAAGAAGTCATTGTAACGAATTATACAGAAGGTTAGTAAGGGAGTTCAATTGGACTCAATCAGGTGTCAGCATTGCAGGCTCAAAAATAAAAGTGAGT